TATATATATATATATATATACACATTCATATATATACATACACACACATATTAATATGTGTGTACGCGTGATAAAATTATGTATGTACACATATACATACATATATATAGATGTATATAAATGTGTGTGTGCATGCGTATGATAAAATTATATACATATAAACACACGCACACACTTATTATTATTATATATATGTGTGTGTGTGTGCGTGTATATATAATACATACTGTTATAAATGGGTCGACCTTTTTTTTTTACCTTACTGACCCAATTACACATCATTTATCCTTATTGACCCATCCACACATACATACATACATACTTGTAGAAAACTTTCCCTCCCAAAACATCTGCGTTGAAAGTGTTCGAAGAGCAAACGCTACAGCGCGAACGCTTGATTCTCGAGTTTTACGAGAGAAACGTACTTACTCCTAAACATGTTATTCATTGCCCTCTACATTAATCTATCCTTTTTTGTTTTGCCTGCATTCAACCAATATAAAAAAGACTCGTGTATTTTCATTCAATTCATTTCTATCTTTTATTTTCAATTCTTTTCTCCTGTTTATTTAGACTTATATTGCAACATTTTAACCAAAATCGACCTAGATATGACTTCATTTTTTAGACTACCAATTTTAGGTTAACTTAAATAAATTAAACGAAGATTAACTGTTAGCATCTGTTTTATTTTCCATTGTTTACTTCCGTTTCTTTTTCGTCAGAGCGTGATGATATATATATATATATATATATATATATATATATATATATATATATATGTGTGTGTGTGTGTGTGTGTGTGTGTGTGTGAAGATATGTGCACAACTAGAGAAAAGAGATTGATGTTGAACGCATCAGATTTTTAAATGAAATTATTATTTTTATTATTGTGAACTAATATAAAAGCTGTGCAGAATATAGTAAATACTTGAGATATATTACAAATAAAAAAAAATGTTTGCCTATAGAAATATATGAAATTGATAAATACATCAGGAAAAAACCGCAAACGTTTTTGAACATTTAGAATGTTTGAAAAAAGTAGATTCAAATATTAAAATATGCGTGTACACAGACACACATATATATATATATATATATATATATATATATATATATATATATATATATATGTATGAATGTGTATATATATATATATACATATATATATATATATATATATATATATATAAATAAATATATATATACATACACACACATATTAATGTGTGTGCGCGTAAAAAAAATTATGTATGTACACACATACATACATACATATATATATAGATATATATAAATATGTGTGTGTGCGTGCGTATGATAAAATTATATACATATAAAACACACGCACATATTATTATTATTATATATGTGTGTGTGTGCGTGTGATAAAATTATATATATATATATATATATATATATATATATATATATATATATATATATATATAAACACACACACACCACATATATATATGTGTGTGTGTGTGTGCGTGTGATAAAATTATAGGTTCACTATATACTGAATAACCATTATAGCCTGTAAAAAAAATATCTATTTTCTCTTGTGAATACACCTGGCGTGACATCTAATATATTGGAACAATTTTAGCAAGATATGTAGCGTGCAATGGTAACATCGGCAGCACAAAATGTCGCCATCAAAATAAGCATAATCGCGAAAGTTAAACATAAAACATTAAGACCAGACACTGTAGTTAAGTTATTTACGCTAAGAATTCGAAAATCTATTTGCTTATCACTAAATAGACGACTTTTTAAACCCATTAGGAAAACTATTTTCATATGGTGCCGCTATTTTTTTTTACATTATATTATACAAAAGCTTAACTCATCTTTCATTGTGTTATAGTGTTGCAAGTTGGCTTTCGTGACAAGACCGTCTGCGAATAAGTATCTATTTTTTTTTATAATATATATGTGGAAAAAAAAGGTACCTGTATAGACTGTTAGTGCAATGGTTAGCAACTCGATATGATAAAATCGACGAGTCAAGTACAAACTCTGGTCCAGTTCGTTAAAGGTACGAATTCATCTTTTCCACTGCCTGAGCTATGGGCTTAATATAAGAGTAGACTGGAGTATTTAGAAGGAACGATACGTCAGTAGACTAGTTAACTACGGGGTACGATGGCTAAATTGTCGCCTAAATTACACGAATATAAAAATAATACTGACATCTTATTTTAACAGATATATTTAGCAAAATTACACAAAAATATTTTGAAACGCTAAAGAGTAAATTCATTCAATAAAATTGCCATTGGTTTCAATCACTGCCTGAAGATGACTTCGGAATCTTTTGCAACTCTTTTAGAGGATCTCTTTGTTTAATTTGGCGAATGCTGACTTAATCCCTCCATTCAGTTTGTCTTTGGTGCTACAAGGAATTTTGTTGGTCTCTCACTAAACTGCTCCCACACATAATAATCAAAGGGGGGAAATCTGGGGAGTTAGGTGGCCAGAAGTAAGGTGTGATGTGGCCTCAGAAAGTGCCTGACATCCATCACTGAATTTTGCTGTTAGTGGAGTATGGTGCAGAATCTTGTTGCCAGAAATAGGGTCCTCGAGTAACCACTCTTTTGACCCAGGGAAGTACTACATCCTCAAGGTACTTAATGTTGGGTATGAAGTACTGTGGGAAGATTAATGGAGGCATAATATCGACATCACTAGTGATCACTCGAAACACCATGATGTTGACAGGCTCTTCCCGATTCCTCTTCACTGCCATCAAATTGCCAGCCAAACACTCTAAAATATTTGTAGTGGAGCTTTCGGCGCGAATGCCTAATGCAGCATACCATTTCCAAATTTCTGGCGGAGTGAATTGCATCATGGTGCTCTTTTTCTCACAGACGGTTAAAAAAAAAAAAAAAAAAAACGTGCAGGCGCGTATTTAAAAATACAAAATGGCGACAATTCACCGAACGGACTCCATATATTATAACAATTAGTAGTTCAGGTATCCATGTTTTTCCTGAAAAAAATTGTTATAAGAGGACGTCTTTATATATATTTCAACTGATAGTAATGATAACTGTTTGGTTAACAAACAACGAATTCATGAAACTATCGCAATTTCAATATATGGACATATCACGTTGAAACACAGTGAGACCGGTGTAAAGATGTCATATGCCCTTATATTTTATTCATTTTTTTTTTTACAAGTCTAATTGACTAAGGTTCTCGTACGATCGCCAAAGTTAAGTGACGACGAGCCTAGTCAGTACCTAGATGAGTGACCTCTTGGAAATATCAGGTGCTGTATGATTGGATGTGCGGTTACCGTAATGGATAATGGCTTGGAATTTTTGAGTCGGACATTAATCCAATTCCCCTTGGGTTCGGTATATTCACTTACACGAAAATACTCTTGGGAAAGCTATCGGTTAATTAATAAGACTTGTATCCCTAAACCATTATTATCTCCCCAAAAATATCAAAAGTATTTTCTGGGTTTAAATAACCTGCAAAGAGCAGTGGCCATCCAAGGCTATAGAATCCATCCTGTCCTGCTATTTACCCATAGCTGGAGGGAGAAGAAGACAATAATTTTCCCTAGGGTATTAGCACGTAAATGAATGTAAGAGATTCAACTGGAATTTGAACGGCTCTCCGAGCCGCTATCCACTAGTCCACTACTCCATATATCAGTAATGCAATATTGTACAGAACGTTTAGGAAATGACACACATCAATATAAATAGGCCACATTTTTAAAGTAGTAAATGTGAACGATCTAAACTTAATCCACCTGATCCTTTCATAATTGTCGTAGATTAATTACAGGTAATTAAACATATATTTCTAGGTTTCTATATTTTGATGGATAAAATTATATTCCGAATCAAATTGATTTTGTCAACAAAAGAAACAATAATTCAATAGCTGTTATCTTTTACAACTATTATAGGACTAAGATTTGGGCACCTCGGGGCGGTGTAATGGTTAGCAAGCTTGTCTCGCTAGGACAATTACGACTGACTAGTGAGTTCGATCCTCACTGGGTGCCCCATACTTTCGGCATTGTGCCACATCTAAGCTACGCTTGGAAAATCACTATAGGACTAAGATTCTGCTTTCTGTTATTAATTATATAAGCCACACATCTAGATTAGCTATATACGGAGTTCGATTAACCCGAAATTCAAATGTTAAAATAATAAATAAATCATTTCTAATCCAAACATCGCGCGTCAGCCAATAAACTAAGTCGACTTATACACGAGTATACATAAATAGAGAAGCGAAACAGTGACTGGTATTAACAAAAGAAAGAAATTATCTGGGGACGGGAATATAGAGTGAATAATGAACGAACTATGGGGCTTACATATTGATAAAATAAAGTACAACTATATAAAAAAAATAATCAACTGTGTAGACTATTGTTTTCTTTACAATGAGTCCTACATTTTCCAGAGGATGTCATCAATAATTTGCGATTGTGATTGGCAAACCAAAAAAAAAAAAACTATTGATTAGTACAAAGAGTAGAAAGCTGTGATGTGACGGCAAAGCTAGTCAATCGGATTATCAGATTTTACAAGGCCGCTGAGTTGCAAGCAAGTAAGCAGCTAGACTGGTTTGATTGCTGTCAGGTGAAACCACCATTTGCATTTGTTCAGTTATAACGGAAACTTACTTGTCGTCCAGGTGTATGCTACTGCTACTATATTTACCTGGTTCATTATATTTCTTCTACATAAAAAAATACAAAAGCTGAAGAAGCTTTTTTATTCATACATACATACATAAATACATACTTATATGCATATACCTATCTTCCTGTATCTTTGAAAAAAAAATAGAAAAAAAAAATGAAAAAACTGAATGCGCCAATTTAAAAACAACGCCAGTAACCGTTACCTAGTCGACGCGTTTCTACAAATGTAAACACTTGCGTCTAAACATCAAGTGACCAAGCGGGACACACGACTATTTTCGTGTATATTACGAATATTTTAAAT